GGAGTGCAGTGGCATGATATTGGCTCACTGCAATCTCCACCCCCCTGGTTTAAGTGCCGCAGCCTTCTGAGCAGCTGGGATTACAAGAATCTGCCACAACACCCGGCTAATTTTTATACTTTTAGTAGAGACGGGGTTTCACCATGTTGGCCAGGCTGGTCTCAAACTCCTGACCTCTGGTGATCCGCCTGCCTCAGCCTCCCAAATTTCTGGGATTACAGGTGTGAGCCACTGTGCCCAGTCTATTTCATATTTTAAATATTAAAAAGTAGAACCTGGCCAGGTGTGGTGGCTCACACCTGTAGTCCTAGCACTTTGGGAGGCTGAAGTAGGAGGATCACTTGAGCCTGGAAGTTCAAGACCAGCCTGGGCAACAGAGCAAGACTCCATAGTGGGGAAAAAAAAAAATTAGGACTTTTGTCTAGGATGCTGTTCAGAAGAGTTAGAATAGCAGGTCTGAGACTACTGTCCTTAGAGAGGGCTGCTTGCAAATTTGGCATCTAGAAACTTGAGTTTAGAGAGGGCTATCACCATTCCCTACCTAATAAGAGTGGCTCACTGTGCCTAAACTGTTTGTACAAACAACATAGTTTATGTTGCTTTCCTTTATTTTATTAATTGAGACAGAGTCTCCTTCCGTCAGCCAGGCTGGAGTGCAGTGGCGTGAATTCTGCTCACTGCAACCTCTGCCTCCCAGGTTCAAGCGATTCTCCTGCCTCAGCCTCCTAAGTAGCTGAGATTACAGGCATACACCACCACACACAGCTAAATTTTGTATTTTTAGTAGAGATGGGGTTTCACCATGTTGGCCAGACTGATGTCAAACTCCTGACCTCAAGTGATCCACCCGCCTTGGCCTCCCAAAGTGCTGGGATTACAGGCCTGACCACTGCGCCTGGCCGCACTTTCCTTCAGAATGCTGCTGTCCTTTGGGGAGAGACAAGGGGCCTTCCTGGTGAACACGGCCCGGGGCGGCCTGGCGGACAAGAAGGCGTTGGCCCAGTGCGGCCCTGAACGTGCAGGAGCCTGAACCCTTCAGCTTTGGCCAGGCCCCCCAGGATGCGGCCAGTCTTCTGCACCCCCAGGCTGCGTGGTTCAGCCAGCAGGCATCCACCGAGATGCGCGAGACGGGGCCGGGAGATCCGCAGAGCCATCCCAGGCCGGGCCCCAGAAGGCCTGAAGAACGTCAACAAGGACCCTCTGGCGGCCGCCGCCCACTGGGCCGGCAGGGACCCCGCGTGGTGCCCCTGAGCTCAACCGGCCGCTACAGGTGCCCTCCGGGCGCGGTGGGCGTGGCCCCCACTGGGGTCCCAGCTGCTGCGGAAGGTGCGTCTCCAGCGCCGCGTCCGTGTCCCCCGTGGCCGACCCGCCCCACGCCCCTTCTCCTGGCCAAACCGTGGAGCCCGAGGTGGGCAGAGGCCACGCCAGAGACCAGCTGTAGCTCCCGCGCCTGGGCGGAGGGCCCGGAAACCCTCGGACCAGAGTATGTGGAGGAGGCACCTGCGTGGCGGCCCTGGCACTGCAGACTGGTCCGGGCTCTCAGGAGGAGGCGGGGGGCAGCGCTGGGCCTCGTGTGGGTTGTCGTCCGTCCTGTGTCCGCTCTGCCCTGTGTCCTTTGCGTTCCTCATTAAGCAGAAGAAGTCAGTAGTTATTTCTGCCATGAACCTTCTTGTCTGTGTAGTTTTTAGAACATTGCAAAGGATCTGTTTGCTTAGCTGTCAACAAAAAGAAAACCTGAAGAAGCATTCGAAAGTCAATTTGAGGGGTTTTTTTAGTTGTGGTTTTTTTGTTTGTTATTGTTTTTTATGTTGGAACGTGCCCCGGAATGAGGCAGTTGGCAAACTTCTCAGGACAATGAATCCTTCCTGTTTTTCTTTTTATGCCACACGGTGCATTCTTTTTTCTACCTGCTTATCTTATTTTTAGAATAATTTAGAAAAACAAAATGAAGGCTGTTTTTCCTAATTTTGGCATGAACCCCCCGCCTTGTGCCAAATGAAGACGGCATCACGAAGCAGCTCCAAGAGGAAAAGCTTGGGCATGCCCAGCATTCCCGCTGCCCATCGACGTCTGTCCTGGGGACGTGGAGGGTGCCCAGCGTCCCAGCCCGCACCAGTGCCGTCCTACTGATGTGGTAGGCTAGCAATATTTTGGTTAAAATCATGTTTGTCACTGTAACCATTTGTATGAATTAAAGAAATAAAAATCCCGGAAAAAGAAAAAAAAGAGAGAGACAGTGAGGCTACTGAGCAGAGTGGCCTCAGGCAGTGGCCTCAGAGAACCACCTGTAGCCCTCTTAAGAGCGGCTTGGCCACTGCAATACAGGACACAGCCAACTGGGTGGGCTGGGCCCAGGACATGTTGATGCTGAGACAATGGAACTTGCACCAGGGATCCAGAACCCTGGAAGGAGTGGACCCCTCAGCCAACACCAGCGTGGAGGGCTGAGTAGGCACAAGAGAAGACTCTCACGGTGTGGCCAGAGTGAGCCAGAGGACCCGGACTCAGGCCCCCATGCCGCTCTGCCTCTGCCATCCTCATTCCGGCCTAAATCCATATTGAGCTCCTGGTGTGCGAGGTCTATTTCACAGAGTAGACAGACAAAAGCAGTCCACTGTTGGCCGAGCACGGTGGCTCATGCCTGTAATCCCAGCACATTGCTAGGCTGAGGCAGGCAGATCATCTGAGATCAGGAGTTCGAGACTAGCCTGGCCAATATGGCAAAATCCTGTCCCTCTAAAAATATAAAAATTAGCTGGGTGAGGTGGTGGGTGCCTGTAATCCTATCTACTCAGGAGGCTGAGGTGGGAGAATCACTTGAACCTGGGAGGCAGAAGTTGCAGTGAGCCAAGAAGGCGCCACTGCACTCCAGTCTAGGCCACAAGAGTGAGACTCCGTCTCAAAACAAAAAACAACAAAAATTCCACTGTCAAGATGGCAGCGTGACCACATGCTACATCTCTTTCTTCTATAGAACATCATTAGACATAGTAAAAAAAAAACCAGAAGACAGAGCATGCAGTGAGCCAAGATCGCACCACTGCACTCCAGCACTCCAGCACTCCAGCCTGGGCGACAGAGCGAGACTCCGTTAAAAAAAGAAAAAAACACCTAACTAGACATCACCAGAAAAAAAACTTAACACTCCACTTCCTCTTATGAATGTAAGTACGAAATTACCCAATGAACTATGAGCAAGCCCATCTCAACCACATATAAAATGATATTAATCATATATCACAACAAAGTTGATTTAATTCCAGAAATGCAATGTTAAACATTCAAAAGCCAAACACTATTAAGTTACCTTATCAACATAAAAAGACAAGAAAAAAATTGCTCAATCACAAAAGAAAAAAGCAATTGACAAAATTCAGTGCCTATTCATAAATCTTAAAACCTATCTAACAGAGAGGAAGCAACATGCCCAGTTAAACACCACAGCAGCTGAGAGTGGTGACGTAACTTACTTGCAGCCAAAAGATGAAAATTGCAAGCTGGGCACATCAGCTCATGCCTCTAATCCCAGCACTTTGGGAGGCAGAGGAGGGCAGATCACGAGGTCTGGAGTTTGAGAAAATCCTGGCCAACATGGTGAAACCTGGTCTCTACTAAAACTACAAAAAAATGGGCCGGGCGTGGTGGCACGCACCTGTAATCTCATCTACTTGGGAGGCTGAGGCAGAAGAATTGCTTGAACCACAGGGATGGAGGTTGTTACAGTGAACCAAGATCGCATCACTGCACTCCAGCCTGGCAACAGAGCAAGAATGAGTTTTGAAAAAACAAAAACAAAACAAAACAAAAACAGATGAAAATTGAGTTGCAGTATACTCTTAAAACTTTTAAGAAATCTATGTTTTTCAGCTAAAAAGAGACAGACTCAGCCTTTTGACCTTTCCTCTTTCCCTCCCTAGAAGGCAATCCAAGGCCTGGAAAAACAGCAGCCACATTGTAACTACAAGAACAAAAACATGATTGGCCGGGCGCGGTGGCTCACGCCTGGAATCCCAGCACTTTAGACGGGCAGATCACGAGGTCAGGAGATCGAGACCATCCTGGCTAACAGGGTGAAACCCCGTCTCTACTAAAAATACAAAAAACTAGCTGGGCGAGGTGGCGGGCGCCTGTAGTCCCAGCTACACGGGAGGCTGAGGCAGGAGAATGGCGTACACCTGGGAGGCAGAGCTTGCAGTGAGCCGAGATCCGGCCACTGCACTCCAGCCCGGGCGACAGAGCGAGACTCCGTCTCAAAAAATAAATAAATAAATAAATAAAAACATGACTAAGGAAGGACTAGGAAACTGTAAAGAACCCTGGACTACCTTCCTCTGCACATTTTAAGTGACAAACATGAAATCTGTATTTCTTTAAGTCACTGAACTAGATTTATTTTTTCTATGACTACATGTAGCCCTAAATGATGTATTAAATACTAAAATACGTACTGAAATACTAAAATTTTGGTCTTGAACTCCTGACCTCAGGTGATCCACCTGCCTCAGCCTCCGAAAGTGCTGGGATTACTGGCATGATCCACCACACCCGGCTCAAAATCTTTGTTTTTAAACATATTAGATACGTTTCTTGGTTTTTTGTTTAAAAAAAAATCATAATAATAATATAGGAGAAAGAGAGAAACTTTTTTCATTTTGTTTTTGTTTTTTGAGACGGAGTCTCGCTCTGTCGCCCAGGCTGGAGTGCAGTGGCCGGATCTCAGCTCACTGCAAGCTCCGCCTCCCGGGTTTACGCCATTCTCCTGCCTCAGCCTCCCGAGTAGCTGGGACTACAGGCGCCCGCCACCTCGCCCGGCTAGTTTTTTGTATTTTTTAGTAGAGACGGGGTTTCACCGTGTTAGCCAGGATGGTCTCGATCTCCTGACCTCGTGATCCGCCCGTCTCGGCCTCCCAAAGTGCTGGGATTACAGGCTTGAGCCACCGCGCCCGGCCCAACTTTTTTCAAAAAAGAGAAATCATTGTGATTATTTTATCTCATTGGAATGTTGGATAATATAGTCTGCTTTATTAATCATCAAGAACACTGTAAATTTTCCATTTTCATTGGATTTGTACCTCAATTAAGGTGATAAAGTTTTAAAGTTTTTAAAGTGAGAGCCAGCACCACCCCTCTCCTGGAGTGGGCGGGAACAGAGGTCACATGGGCGTTCTTCCATGTGACATCACAGGTCCTTCATGACACGTGGCTGCCTGACCCCGCCTCCTTTCCCTTTCCTCTTTCTTACTGACCAATAGGCTTCAAGCATTAAGGTCACGCCCCTATTCTGCATTGTTGTGTGGCCCTGGTTACGCCTCCTCTGGTTCAGTCACACCGCTGTGTGGTACGTGACTGGAGGTGTATCGGTGTGCTCATCTGGATCACGCCAACGTGGCCCCAACCCCACCTCCCTCCCCACCCCATGATGTCAGAAGAAAACAGACAGAGAAAACTGGCTGAGGCCAAGAAAAAGGTAAAACGCAGAGGGTTGCGGCACCCCAACCCAAACCCAGCCCCAGGCCCCCTCAGATAGCAGAACAGCTGCCAGAGTTCATGCCACTCCAGAGGCACCCCAGGTTCGGCCCTCCCAGTGACTCTGGGCTCCCCCAGCCAAAATCTTCTCAGCCAGCCCCACCCCCTCAGCATTCCTGCCCCTGCCCTCGCCAGTGACCCCAGGGTGACTTTGAGCCAGTGACTCCTAGGGCTCCCCACTCCGTACTCCACCCTCACCTCCTATTACCCCAAAACTGACCTCCCTGGGCCCTTTGGGCTCGTGTCTCCAAGGACCTGGGTGCCCCTGCACCTGCCCTCACCAGTCGGCCCAGGGTGACTTTGGGCAGGCGACTCCTGGGGCTCCCCACTCCATACTCGGCCCTCACCTCCCACCGCCCCAAGCCCAACCTCCCTGGGCTCTTCGGGCTCGCGTCTCCAAGGACCTGGGTCCTGATCCTGCAAACCCCTCCCTAATCTCAAAGAGGCAACTTGGGCACAGCACTGATGTGTCCCCGGTCCCCCACCACCGCACGGAGGAGTGGAATGTAGTGACATCACAGTCCCTCTAGGAACTATCATTACGGCTGCGAGGTGGGCCTTTGATCTTAGGACCCGTGCCCTAAGTGTTCTTGCCCCTTTTCTGATTCCTCTGGTAGCAGCACAGATTTCCAGCTGGAAGAGGAGTAGGGACGATGTGACCTAGGAGCGAGAAGTTTCGGGCTGCCTTAGTCCCTTAACACAGACATTGACCGTTTGAAAAGGCTACACCTCCCCTGTGAACTCAAAATGTTCACAGTGTCTCTGGGTGGCAATGGGAGAACGAGTTTGGTTTGGTTTTCTCCCAGGCTTCTACTCTCCAAAGAGACTTTAGCCTTTTCTTTCTAAGTTCTACACCTCATATTTGAATTCTCCAGGGTTCTGGGACCACGGTTCCCATCAGTCAGTGGTCTCTGAAGTGAGATTTGCTCATCTTCTGTGGACTAGATCTTGGGAAACTGAACTTGACAACTCAAATCTTCTTCATCTCACCTCAACCTGGGGTACTTTGAGTGCCACAGGATAAAAATGGGGCCTCTTTCTGAAGCATACAGTTTCCCTTGATTCTTTTGGAAGAGACAAAAGATTAATGCTCTTGGGGATGATAGTCACATAGATTTCTAAGAGTATACCAGACTTCTCTCTGAAATGAAGCTTGGGTTGTCCTCTGTTAAATTCCCAGATTTAACAGAAAAGCTGGCTTCTGCCCTGAGGATACATTGATGTAAAAGTTTGAGAGGTAGTGGTGTACTTCTTCACACTAACAGACGTGTGAGGATGTATGACTCTAAATCACACAGTGGATACTTTCCTGCCTACTGTTTAGTTTTCTACCTCTGCCTCTGGTTTTGGTCCCTGGAAACTGCCGATTTGTGGCAAAACCCCAGAGCTCAGAGTCAGAAGACTGAGTTTAAGTTCCATTATTGCCTTTTTTTTTCTGCCACAGTATTGATCCCTCTCAGTTGTGATTTTGACAACACCTCGTACAGTTGTTGGTGGCATTAAATCAGATCATCTACGAGAGTATTGGGTATAAACTGTAAAGTGACTGTATGAGTATCACTGCTCTTCTTTTCTACAGTTTAGAGGCTATCATCAGTGGAACAATGCTGGTGTTAGTACCGGAGGAACCGACACCAAAAAGAAAATAAATAATGGCACTAACCCTGAGACAACCACTTCTGGTGGTTGCCGTTCACCTGAGGATGTGAGTTTTGGCTGGTTGGTCTCCTGAGGTCAGGGGCACGAGGGGTGGGTAGAAGGTAACTGTTAAGATTGTGGAAGGAAGAACTGCCGGGTATTGGTTAAGAATTCTGGGTTTGAATCCTACCTCTCCATCTACTAGGAACATGATTTACGGCAAATTGCTTGAGTGATTTGGGCCTCTCTTTTCACATCTATAAAATAGGGGTGGTAATGTTTTACTTACATTTGTGAAGTTTGAATCAGATTTGTTATTGTTGCTTTTGTGTTAATCCCTAGGCCAGGGCCTACTGTAAACTCCTCTCCTCTTTTGGACTTGCATTTCCTGAGGAGGTAGAGTTATAAGAGTATCACAGGTTTCTGTTCACTCTGAGAGTCTGAGATTTAAAGATTCACTAGAATGGAAACCTCGGGGCCAAGGGCTTCTGTCTGCCTTTTCCGTCCTGTATCCCAGCTGTCCCGTATCCCCACACGATCCCGTATCCCATCGTCCCATATCCCCTTGCGTCCGTCCGTATCCCGCGCGTCCGTCCGATATCCCCACCGTCCGTATCCCCGATCCGTATCCCGCCGTCCGTCAGCATCGCCGTCCTGTCAGTATCGCCGTCCATTAAAGCTCCCCACGAAGACCGTGTCCGCTGCGTCCGTCCGTATCCATACATCCTGTCCGTATCCTTGTCCCAGTATCCGCGTCCGTATCCCCACCGTCCAGCATCCCTGCCATCCGTGTACTCCCGACGTCCCATATCCAGCTGAAGAACCGTCCTGACCTGTGTGCTTGGTCAATGTTTGCTGAATGGGCCCGTCCCGTATCCCCGCCGTCCCGTCCCGTATCCCCGCCATCCTGTCCCGTATCCCCGCCGTCCCGTATCCCCGCCGTCCCGTATCCCCACCGTCCCGTATCCCTGCCATCCCGTATCCCCGGCTGTCCCATATCCCCGCTGTGAAGAACCGTCCCTGACCTGTATGTGCTTGGTCAATGTTTGCTGAATGAACGCACCTTTCTAAATCACAAGCTGGCAGAAGGGTGGGCTTTTCTCACACTCCATCTCTGAAGGTTTATGTTAGTGTCTTTCCAGAGAATCTAGTTTCAGCCTTTCAGCTCTGTGGCTGTGGGCAAAAACCAATAAAGACCCAAATCCATTTTTTTTTTGGCAGTCGAGAGTTGACCAGTTCATGTTCCCATTGGGTCTGAGAACTTTGCCTTTAAAATCCATCCCTGGCCCCTGCCTACCGCTTCCTGACTTGGGGAATAGACTCGAGGGGGCCACCCTCAGTCACCTCCCTTTGACTCTCCCCACAGAAACAACAGAACTGAGCTCAGCTGGAAGAAGTAACATGATTTCTTTGTTTGCTCACGACATGACTGCTGGGTTTGGGGGGCACTCAGATGTAGAGGCCCCAGTCTCGTCTGGCCCACTCCCAGACTGGGGATGAAGGCTTACCCCCCAGATTCCACCCCATCCCCACAGGGTCCCTGATAACCTGGCCCCATGGGTGGGCCTGTCCTGGGGCAGTGGTGCCATTCTGGGAGCATCTCTTGCTGTGCCATCTCTGCCTTCCCCTAGTAAGAGCTCTGTCTTCCTCTTCCTATAGGAAAAGGCGGCAAGCCACCAACATCAGGAAGCCCTAAGGAGGGAGCTAGAGGTGAGTGGAGGGGGTGAAGTTCCCTCCTGTCCTCTGGAGAAGGTTTCTTTGCTTCTGTTTCAGCACTTGCTTGTCTTTTCTTCCAAAGACCCAGGATCATACTATACGAATCCTTATGAGTCAGAAAACTGAACTGGAGACAGGGCTCTACTACAGCCAGGAGGCTGCCAGGAAATGTGAAGGTGGGAATCTGGGCACCCGGTCATCCTTCAACCTGGCACTTTCACAGGCCTTTAGGGGGAGTCCTTTGTGCCACATCTCAACCTCTGTCATTCCAGGAGAGTCCAATCGTTCCTGGCACTTTGCAGGAGAGTTACAGCGGGCTCTGTCTGCTGTGTCCACACAGCACAAGAAGGCGGACAGGGTGAGTCCAACCACCTGCTCGGTCCCCTGGGAGCCCAGTTTCACAGATGGAGGAATGAGCCTAAAGGTCCCTTCTGCACCATGCAGTGTCCTGTCCAGAAGGCAGCATGGGCCATTTATTACTGCTTTTGTGTGTGGATATTAGAGGCAGGTTGGGGCTGAGTCAGCTGCTGTGGGTTAGCTGCAGGGTGCTGTGGGGAACGAGCACCGGACACAGAGCTCCGAGGCCAAGAGCCCACCCTGCCCACACGTGGCTGTGGCCTTTGCTAAGTCCTAGGCAGGGGTTAGTGTACGTGTACCATGAAAGTACAGAAGAGTATCTTTAGAATGTTACCATTTGTGTAGAGAGAGGGAACAAACGTACATGTGTGTGGCTACGTATTATGCTAATATACCTAAAACATATTTGTAAGGATTCATAAAAAACTCAGGAGACAGGAACAGTGTGCATGGGAGGTATTTCCCTTCTGTACCTTCTGAGTTTTGGACTACGCCAATGTATCATTCTTTCAAAGAGTCAACAAAGGATTAATTTCCTCCTTCTTATCTGTGCCCTACCCCCAGCGAAGGAATGGGCTTACAGAATCAGATATACCTGGGTGTTGAAAGCCCAGCTCTGTCTAAGTGATCTTAGACAACCCCTTAACCTTCAGTACCCCATGTTTTTCATCTACACAATAGAGGTAATAATGGTAACCGTCTCCTATGAAGGTTGCGAGGATTGAATGGGTTTGTTAGTGCAGTGCCTGGTGAAGCACTCAAAGGTTCCGACAGTGGGAGTAGTAACAGTAATAACAGCAGCAATCTTATCTGATCTCTCTGGGCCCCTGTTAGCCAGCTATCAATTCAATCTCTTTCCCTGTCCCTTCCACCCTTACTGAGTTCTTTGAAAAACAAGTGAGAGACGGGTGTGGTGGCTCACACCTGTAATCCCAGCTACTTGGGCGGCTGAGGCAGGAGAATCGCTTGAACCGGGGAGGCGGAGGTTGTGGTGGGGTGAGATTGCAACATTGTACTCCAGCCTGGGCGACAAGAGCGAAACTCCATCTGAACAAAAAGAAAAAAAGAAAAAGAAGAAAAACAAATGAGATCCTGGGCTTGGAAGTGCCTTGAGAGCATGTCAGGTGTGACTGGGAGTGGGGAGTGGTGTGTGGAGTGGTCACTGTGGCTGTTGTTCCTGGTCGGCCAGCCGCTCCTCTGCCTGCTCTGTCCTGACTTCACCTTTCTCTATTTGCAGTACATTGAGGAGTTAACAAAGGAGAGGGACGCCCTGAGTCTGGAACTGTACAGGAACACGTAGGATGAGGGATGGTGGGATGGGAGGTCTGGGGGCCCTCAGCGTGGGGGGTGTGCTGGGAGGTGGGGGTACAGGTGAGCGTGGTGAGAGGCTCATACAGGTTTTCATGTGTGCGCGGGGAAGCTCTAGTGCTGGCTGTGCCACTGACTCATGGGGTAGCCTCAGGCAACTCATGTCTTCTCTCTGGCCTGCCACCTGGGACTTTTAATTCCTGGGTCCCTTCCAATGCCACAGTTCTGTTGTGGGGTGAAAGTACACGGTTGATCACCAAAGCAGTCCTTTCTGTTCTTAATTCATTCCTTTCTCCACGACCTCTGGTCACAGCATAACCAACGAGGAGCTGAAGGCGAAAAATGCCGAACTACAAGAAAAACTTCGACTTGTAGAATCTGAGAAGTCTGAGATCCAGCTCAACGTAAAGGAGCTAAAAATGAAGTTGGAGAGGGACAAAATCCTGCTGCCACAGGTAAGAGACTGCAGGCCCCGCGGTTGTGAAAGCTCCACCCAGCTGGGACCATGGTCTAGGGATCATGCAGGGTATAGGGAGGGTCCAGCCAAGAGCTGGAAAATTTGGGTCCTTGTTCTGATCCCACCATAGAATCATCAAGAGTGTGCTAAAAATCTACAAATTGGGGCCCTGCCAGGGCAATCAGAACCTCAGGGTTAGGGCTTAAATTTTTTTTTAAAGAATCATAGATGAAAACCGTTATTTTATAGATTACATTTATATAGCTAGCTCATGAGTCTATTTCCTTTTGAGGTTGAAACCAACACTTTGCAGGAGGAGAAGCTGCGGGAGCAGGAGAAGAAGATATGGGAGCAGGAGGAGAAGATACGGGAGCAGGAGGAGATGTGGAGACAGGAGGAAAGGCTGTGGGAGAAGGAGAAGGAGCTGCGGGAGCAGGAGAAGCAGATGCGGAAGCAGGAGGAGCAGATGTGGAAGCAGGAGGAGAAGATGTGGAGACAGGAGGAGAGGCTGCGGGAGCAGGAGGCAGGAGCTGCACGAGGAGCAGGAAGCAGATGCACGAGCAGGAGCAGAGATGAGGGAGCAGGAGGAGAAGATGTGAGACAGGAGGAGAGATGTGGGGAGACAGGAGGAGAGGCTGCGCAGGAGGAGAAGATGTGGAGACAGGAGGAGAGGCTGCGGGAGCAGGAGCAGGAGCTGCGGGAGCAGGAGCAGGAGCTGCACGAGCAGGAGAAGCAGATGCGCGAGCAGGAGCAGAAGATGTGGGAACAGGAGGAGAGGATGTGGGAGCAGTACCAGAGGCTGCGGGCAAAGGAGAAGAGGATGCAGGAGCAGGAGGAGAAGATGCAGAAGCAGCAGGAGATGTGGGAGCAGAAGGAGAAGATGCGAGAGGAGGAGGAGGAGAAGATGTGGGAGCAGCAGGAGATGTGGGAGGAGATGATGATGCGGGAGCAGGAGGAGATGCGAGAGGAGATGGAGAAGATGAAGGAGCTGGTGGAGAAGATGCAGGAGCAGCAGAGGCTGCCAGAACAGGAGGAGGAGCTGTGGAAACAGGAGAAAATGCAGGAGCAGGAGGAGAAGATACGGGAGCATGAGGAGAAGATGCGGGGGCAGGAGGAGAATATGCGGGAGAAGGAAGAGAGGATGCGAGAGCAGGAGAAGCTGCCAGAGCACAAGGAGAGGTGCTCAGCGCCCTGCGTCCCTCCCTCCAAAGATCTTTGTGATACAAGCCACGCTAGCAACATGGCGTCTGCACGAGGAGAGGCCGGGGACGGTTCTCCCCACGACAACCCCACTGCACAAGTCGTGCAGCTGCCTCGTGGGATGAAGAACGCCCAGGAGTGCCCAGGCTTAGGCAGCAACTCCTGCATCCCATTCTTCTACCGAGGAGACAAGAAGAAGATGAAGATCATCGACATCTAACAGCCGGCACTGTCAACAAGGCCTACAGAAGTGTAAGCCACCATGTCACTGTGTGAATATAGTCTGAGAATAAACTTGAAAAAAATAAAAAGAAAATTTATGTTAAATTGTGATAAAATACTGGCCGGGCACGGTGGCCCACACCCGCAATTCCAGCACTTTGGGAGGCCCAGGCGGGTGGATCACCTGAGGTCAGGAGTTCAAGACCAGCCTGGACAACATGATGAAACCCCATCTCTACTAAAAACACAAAAGTTAGCCGGGCATGGTTGCGCACGCCTGTAATCCCAGCTGCTCGGGAGGTTGAGGCTGCAGTGAGCCGAGATCACGCTACTACACTCCAGCCTGGGTGACAGAGCGAGACTCCATCTCAAAAAAAAAAAAGTTTCTACCTGAGGACAATAATATCTATGTATGTTTGTCTTTTTGCTTGGTCTTTCTTGTTTAGTCTTGTGTTGTCTTGTCTTATGGCAGGCCTAGTAAACTATTATCTGCCTCCAGAGAGTATTTTTTTTTTTTTTTTGAGACGGAGTCTCGCTCTGTCCCCCAGGCTGGAGTGCAGTGGCCGGATCTCAGCTCACTGCAAGCTCCGCCTCCCGGGTTCATGCCATTCTCCTGCCTCAGCCTCCCGAGTAGCTGGGGCCACAGACGCCCGCCACCTCTCCCGGCTAGTTTTTTTTTGCATTTTTTAGTAGAGACAGGGTTTCACCGTGTTAGCCAGGATGGTCTTGATCTCCTGACCTCGTGATCCGCCCGTCTTGGCCTCCCAAAGTGCTGGGATTACAGGCTTGAGCCACTGCACCTGGCCAAGAGAGAGAGTATTGACTTTGACTTTATGGCACACAATTGGAGTAAGGGCAGATCACCTTCATCCAGTTTGGGACTAAGCTGGTTCAAAGCAGGTTTTAGTTTTTGTGACGGCTGGTCTATTTTTTATTCATTTCTTCTCCTAGGGGTGGCCCTTCCAGGGTCCCATCTCCTTACTGGGATCCAAATTCTCATTATGTCATTTGAGCCCTTTGAGTGCCAAACATTCAGCTAGGCTCTCCAGCCTGTTAACTACCACTTCAGACTCAGTTTCTTAGCCTCTTAGCCCTCTACTGTTGACCAATCACCAAGTGTGGGAAAGCGCTACGGACTGTCAGGGTCACCTCCCAGGCCTGGTCACTCAAATCCTGGCTGAGGTCTCCAATTACCTTCAAATAGTTTTTGGTTGGGGCACATTTTTGTCCAGTTTTTCTAACTGCTCTTGTGGGGAGGCTAATCTATAACAAGCTACTCTGCCTTTAGTGGCTGTGGGAGGCACCCAGTGCAGTCAGTGGCGCTGGGTCCTCCCCACAGCCCTTCTCTAGTGTATCTATTTGGACTGTCTGCTCATTTCATAGAGAGGGTGTGTCTTGCCCAGCCCGTCTGGCATGTCTAAGGCAGCTGTGGGGGCAGAATCTGCAGCTCCCAGACCCCAGCCGTGCAGCAGTAGGCGAGGCTGGACCCCACATCTCTGCAGTCCCACCGGGCTGGACCCCACATCTCTGCAGTCCCACCAGATCAGATTTCATCTTCCAAGTCCCCTGATGGACCCCACATCTCTGCAGTCCACGGAATCAGGACCCCACATCTCTGCAGTCCCACCAGTCTGGACCCTCACATCTTCAGGTCCACGATCTGGATTCACATCTCTGCCCAGTCAGTCCCACCGGGCTGGACCCTCACATCTTCCAAGTCCCACCGGGCTGGACCCCACATCTCTGCAGTCCCAACGGGCTGGTGTGAGCGGGCTCCCGAGTCCAGGGCTGCTCTGCAGAATGTGGGGCTGATGCACCAGCTCCGAGTCCACCTGATGTGCTCAGGTTGCTCACCTTTGGGCCTGTCTTGCCTCTCAGGCATTCGGCTGACCCTGAGAGCCTCTCCCTCTTCTTGACCAGCAGCTACGAGCTCTGACTTAGAGGTTCCCTGAACCTTAGACCATTTGGCCCAACCCCTCATTTCTCACCTGAGGAAAACTGAGACCACAGAGGGGAAGCAACTTTCTCGAAGACCCCCAGCAAGTCAGAGGCAGAAGTGGGTCTAGGAGCCTTTCCCAGCAGAAGTCCTCCCTGTCCCCTGAGCCTTCTTTTGTGCCTCGTTAAGTTCCCTGTAAGGAGACTGCCCTGCTGAGGCGGGAAATGGTGCTGATCAGGGTGCTGTCCAGCCAAGATTGTGCCAGTGCACTCTGGCCTGGGCAACAGAGCAAGACTCCATCTCAAAAAATAAAAATAATTTTAATAATGTATCACACTTATCCCAACAGATTGAAAGCATTCCCATTTCAACATCAAATCAATATAAGAAAAATTGTTATTTTACATAGGTTATTTCTTTTTTTTTTTTTTTTTTTTTTGAGACGGAGTTTCGCTCTGTCACCCAGGCTGGAGTGCAGTGGGGCGATCTCGGCTCACTGCAAGCTCCGCCTCCCAGGTTCTCGCCATTCTCCTGCCTCAGCCTCCCGAGTAGCTGGGACTACAGGCGCCCGCCACCTCGCCCGGCTAGTTTTTTGTATTTTTAGTAGAGACGGGGTTTCACCGTGTTAGCCAGGATGGTCTCGATCTGACATCGTGATCTGCCCGTCTCGGCCTCCCAAAGTGCTGGGATTACAGGCTTGAGCCACCGCGCCCGGCCTCAATTTTTTGTATTTTTATAGAGACGGGGTTTCACCATGTTAGCCAGGATGATCTCAATCTCCTGACCTCGTGATCCGCCTCCCTCTACCTCTCAAAGTGCTGGGATTATAGGCGTGAGCCACCGCGCCCGGCTACATAGGTTATTTCATAAGTCCTCAAAAACCATCAGGGTAGCTTACACATGCAGCACATTTCAATCTGGACTGTGAGATTTGCATTGAAAATATCTGATCTGCACTTAGATTCATAAAATATACAGGTGACGAAGTAGACTCACATGGCCCAGTTATTCTAAACACACTTACATGCTTCCTAATAACAGAATCGAGTTTTAAAATCTGTATTTTAATAAAAATTAAACATAAAATATTCAGTGTCTCAGCTCTGATGGACACACTTCAAGTGCTGATCAGCAAACTGCGTGAGTGCGGCCAGACTGGCCAGTGCAGGCTACACAGCTGCAGGCCAAACAGGCCAGTCTCTCTGCACATGGAAACAGTCTGAGCAAGCAGGAGATGGGGAAAACGGGCACTGCCCTCATGAGAACGAAGGACCCACAACAGGAACCCTGCACTCACCCCTCGCCAAAGACACCAACAGCCCATGACGCAGCCTCAGAAAACGGAGAGGCATTCAAGAACTTAGAAAAGCACCTCTGGAAAATGCTCACTTGAAAACCTTGCATGTAACCTTACATTTTAATTACAAAGTTGTTAACATCCACTTTCTCATTCATTCTTAATGAACTCTGTGAAAGTAAACACAGCTTTTATTCTTATTCCTATAGTTACTGAGTTGGAAGTTCACCTATGTGAACAAGTTGTTCCAACTGAAATTTTCTGAGAACAAATCCCAAGATCTTTCCCTTAACAGTAACTATATTAAGTTTAGTTCACTAATTTCCATCGGTTAAAGACCAGAATGTGTGAAATATGCATTATCAGATTAGAAAAACAAAATAAACATCACAAAAACGCTTTTCAAAATAGCATTTACTAAAATCCATGATAGAAACTAGCTCTAAAAACTTCCCGTTTCAAAATTCCACTGTGTGTCCACTAAGTTCGTTTTTCTGGCTGTGGACAGCAGGGTCACCCCACGCCACAGACCCACCACGGCCCCATGACCAGGCCGGCTGAGAGCTGCAGCCACTGCCCAGGGCTCCCTGCTCTGTGTTCGGCCGCCTGATGCAACTTGCCAGTTCTTTGCTTTCTCTATGTGTAGAAACTAAAACCAGAAGCCTAAGTTTACAAAAAGCAGATTTTTATTAAATAAGAGGTACAAATGTGTTTCATTTTCTAATAAATCTCTTTCACAAATCATCTTGCTTTTCCGCTCTTCTTGAGTGATCAATTTTACACAACACTGTCTGACCCTTTTGGCTTCTGCCAAGGTTAGCCTCTGTTCACAGGCTGAGTCTGACTTCTTCCCACCTCCTCCTAGTCTGGCCTTACAAAACAATGCTCATCATTCTTTCACACTGACTTTAGTTTTGAAAAGAAAAGTTATCTTACACAGTAGTATGTATAACTCTGTAATATGTAAAGTGAGGCAATGATAGAACCAGTTTTAAAAATAACCTTCCCATGATGATTTTCATTTGCATCCACCTGCTTATTACTAAGAATCTTTTCACATGTTTACTGCACACCCCAATTTCTCTTCTGTGAAAAACTTTTGAGTATCATCATACCCTCCAACTTCTCCTCTCACCTGTGTTGAAAAGGGTCTGCTCTTTATCCTAACGTCTGTACTAGGTAATTTTCAGAATATCCCTTCAATCACCAATTTTTGAGATTCTTGTGCTGGATTTCATTATCTTAATATGAAAAACAACAATCACTCATTAAAATACAATAAAGGCCAGGCACAGTGGCTAACGCCTGTAATCTCAACACTCTGAGAGGCCAAAACAGATGGATCACCTAAGGTCAGGAGTTTGAGAGCAGCCTGACCAATATGGTGAAACCCCGTCTCTACTAAAAATACAAAAATCAGCCAGGTGTGGTTGCGGACACCTGTAGTCCCAGCTACTCAGGAGGCTGAGGCAGGAGAATCGCTTGAACTCAGGCAGTGGTGGTTGCAGTGAGCCAAGATTGTGATACCACACTCCAGCCTGGGCGATAGAGTGAGACTCCATCTCAAAAAAAAAAAAAAAATTAACAAGTAAATAAATAAGCCAGGCGTGGTGGCTCATGCCTGTAATCCCAACACTTTGGGAGGCCAAGGTGGGCGGATCACCTGAGCTCGGGAGTTCAAGACCAGTCTCACCACCATAAAGAAACTCCATCTCTACTAAAACTACAAAGTTAGCTGGGCGTGGTGGCACACGCCTGTAATCCCAGCTGCTTGAGAGGCTGAGGCAGGAGAATCACTTGAACTCGGGAAGTGGAGGTTGCGGTGAGCCAAGATCGTGCCATTGCACTCCAGCCTGGGCAACGAGAGCAAAATGCTGTCTCAAAAAAAAAAAAAATACGTAAATACAATACAATACTGCTAATATAATTTACCTAAGAAGCTGTTGCATGAGCTGAACCAGAGGCAAACACTGTTTGCCAGAAGACTCACAGATCCCCGTATTAATAAGGTCTTTATCCAATGGCGTCCTGCTTCTGTGAAACGTTGAGGCATTCGCCTCCTGTTCATCAACTTCTTTTTCCTTCTGTGCTTCTTTTTTGGCTTCAATATCCTGTAATTTATAAACAGAAATTATTTACAAGTGATCTCATTAGCAGGTGTGAAGGCACACAGGCTGGCTGAGCCCTGACCCCAGTGCCAAGCTATCCCAGCCTCTGTGTGTTACCACACACACCTACCCACAGGACCCCACCTGCCCTGTTGAAAACCCCAACTCAGCTGTGCAGTTTCAAACAGAGTCTTCTTTTTACAGATCCAAGGTCCAGGCTGCCTCTGCTGACGCTCTCCAGCCTCCTTCTGTGAAGTCCCTAAAATCCTTAACCCTGCTACTGGCTCTCACAAAACCCAATGTGATCTGCCCCACACACGCAGCATCCAGCTGCTTTGTAAGGATAAGCAGCAGCTATAATTCTCACACACACTGGACTGGTTCAAATGTAAATGGCAAAGCCACTCTGGGAAACTATGAACACACACGGACCCCAAGACCTAACAAATTCCACTCCAAGTGTTTACCCGAAGGGAGAACATATGCTCACTAAAGTACTTGCACACAGCACAATCATGGCAGCTCTACACGGCCAAAAACCAGAAAGCCTGGGCACGGTGGCTCATGCTTGTAATCCCAACAGTATGGAAGGCCAAGGTGGGGGGATCACTTGAGCCCAGGAGTTCGAGACCATCCTGTGCAACATAGTGAAAACTTGTCTCTACAAAAAAATCAAAAAACTAGCCAGGCATGGTGACACGCCTGTGGTCCCTGCAACACAGGAGGCTGAGGTGGGAGGATCATTTGAGCCGAGGAGGACAAGGCTGCCGTGAGCCAACATCAGGTCACTGCATCCAGCCTGGGCGACAGAGCGAGACACCGTCTCAGGAAAAAAAAAAAAAAAGAATACAAAAACCAAAAGCAATTAAATGTCCTTCAATAGAAGAATGAACTAACAACCAGCACTACACCTATAAAATGGAAAACTTCCCAATAATAAAAACCAAGTCACAAGACACACAACAGTGTGAATCTGAAAATCCTTCTCCACAGCAACGCAGGAAAGAGTGCAGCCTCTGCAGTTACATTGCTGCAACACTCAGAGTAGGAAAATGAATCTCATCTGAGGGCAGGGGAGCGTCCCGGCTGCGAGTGCCAAGGGGCACAGGGATCTTTCCGGGTGACGGGAATGGTCTACATGATGGACAGGTTACCTGTTAAATTCACTGAAACAGACAACACGCAGGATTTCATCACAATTAAATCATATCTCAATAATTGTTTAAATTAGCACATAAAATAATTTTAATTTAAAAAAATACTTGGATATGATAAAAGTTTAGTGTTTTACTATTTTCAGTTATTCTTCACATGTGTGAATGTGGTATTTCCGATCTCAGAGCACCACCAGGTCACGTGTGCCTCCAAGGCCATACCTGGATCTCTGCAGTAATGGCTGCGTGTAAAGCTGACTCCAACCCTCCATCAGCCATCAAGCTGCCCACCAGAAGATCAATCATGAATCGACGACCTGGACTTATGTTCACGTCATTGCCTGAAACTGAAATAGAAAGTGTGTGCCAATTTGAGTGAAACGCCATCCCCTCCCAGCACCCCGACCCATGCCCTCTCCTGTTCCTTCCCCAAGCCCACCTGCGCAGGGCAGGAGAGCAGAGAGTGCCCGGGCCCGCTCCTCGGCAGTGGGCAGCAGCACGGACCAGCCGCTCTGCAGCACGGACTGGGCGGCCGACTGCACGGTGCTCAGCACGCCCGCGCTGCTGGCCAGGGTCACCACCGTCTGCTTCAGGCTGTTCAGGAGGACACTGCCCAGACCTAAACCAAGGAATTCCGGGTCAACCTGGTGACTAATGGCAGCATGCAACTGAAAGGAGAAAAACAATTTTCACTTAGAACCCCTAAAAATGAATGAATTTCAAAGTCTTATTAAACACTGAATAAAACCCAATTGTATAAATATAAACTCAAAAGTATAAATAGACAAAGTAACTTCTCAGTTTACGTATTTTGAAAAACTAGACTAAAAATCTCTTACCCACAATGCTTGAAGTGTTTTCTAGAGGAATTTTTTAAACCCCACTACGAACATGTATATGGAAACCTCACAACAGGCTCAGGAAGTGGACTCAGAGCCGGGGGCGCAAACACCAAAGGCCTCCTGCCCGCTGGAAGAAGGCACAGTGCTGACCTCTGGCAAAGAGAGTGAGGAGCGGCCTCACTTTTCCTCTGCATCTGTCCTTCCTGTTGAATTCCTTTACATTTAAAAACCTTAACAAAAATGCCTAGCACCCACGACCAGCGTCCATGTTTTTCCTTATACACAAATGATTCCTATTCAAAATTTTTTACACTAAAAACATCAGTTACAGGACTAAACAATTTGATCTTGAGTAGTAGTTTACTCCCACATTATCTATAAGACTTCAAGCCAAGTGCCACTCTGCACTCAGAACAGCAGCTCCTAATCATCACAGAGAGACACACAATGTCAGCGCTCAACCCTCCACGAATGACTGATGGCCAAAACTCTAAGCATCCTCCCCCGTCGTCTCATTTAGTATCACAGCTTCCTGGGTCTAGTCAGAGTATCATAAATCGAATCACCAGAAAAGCTGAGAACCCACATTCGGAATCACAGCACCGAGAGCCCACTGAAAACAGGCGAGAAACCAACCTACTAGGCCTCTCAGCTCTACAGCGAGGGTGGTGAGAACCAGCCTCCAGCAGGCCAGCTGTCTGCAAGCAGAAGGCAAGAAAGGAAAGAACTCACCCGGTCACCACGGACCTGAGGAACCTGGTCGCTCTCTCCACCACCTCCAGCCACACAGAGGACACGGTGCTCTCGTCGAAGAGCGAGGCCTCGGGAAGTGCTCGCAGGGCATCCAGGGACTCCTGCAACAGCTCACTGCAGAGGTCCGCATCCTCGCCTGGGCGCACACACGCGTCAGAGGAGTCCCCCCCAATGCCCTTTCCCGCTGGGCTTCCCAGCCCTCCGCGAGAGAAGATGCCACTGTCCCCTTTCTAATCCCTCACTCAACAGGCCAAAATCTAGCACAGCTGCTCCAGTCAATTCTGTGTTTCGTGGCTGTCACATGAGCACTACACTAACTTCTTGTTCTTCTAGAATTAAGTTCGTACTCAGTGTTCCATGGTAGTGGCTGGCGTGGGGTGGGGGGTGCATGCACTTGCTCTTTTTTTTCTCTAAAGCACAGACATGAAAAGCCAAACAGCCTCTGCAGCCTCTCATCTCACAAGCAAGGAAACTGAGGCGCAGAAAGCACACGGGATCAGCTGAAGGGCACAGGGTGGCTGAACTGAACTCAAAACACAGACTGCTGGTGCATTAGGGAAGAACCACGCGCCACACCAGGGACCGTACCTGATCGCCAGGCCCTGCGCAGGAAGGCGAAGGCGAAAGACAGCGCCGCTCGGGATCCCACTCTGGCGAGCCCCTCCACGCCTTTGCCCGCAGGCCGGGAACTGCAGACGACACACGGAACATGTAACCAGTCAGAGCGGAGGGTGCAGATACTACATAAAATCAATACTATGAAAGGGTGTGTACCAAAATCCAACCAATGGTTTTCCTCACGTGACAGGATTACAAGTGCATTTTTAGTTTTGTTGTTTAACAACTTTCATCAAACGTCTTTTGTAAAGGAAAAGTTTTCTCTTTAAGAATCAAAGAAATGTACAAGGAATTTTAAACGTCTTGGGAAAACGCTCATTAAATGACCTCACAAAGTGAGAGTCTAATGGGAGGAAGCAGACAATAAGCAGATAAATACATAAACGGAGGGAGAATAAACCCCACAGGAGAGACCAGGCCAGAGAGGAGCTGGAAGAAGAGCAGCAGAGCCGCACGGGGTAGCCTGGCTCGCCCCAGCTCCAGCGTCCTCCACTCAGGGTCTGCTCCTGGCTGAGGGTGAAGCCCTGTGTGCCTAACCCACCCCGTGAGGAGTCACCATCTTTTAAGGGAAGTGCTCATCACCCTCCTGTGTCTTTTAAAGCTTTTCACTACTTGTGTATGTTAATTTCACAAGTCAGTTTCATTCTGCATGTTACAAAAGGTTATGCAAATGGCTCACCATAAAAATCATCCTGTACAAGACAGAAAAGGCTAGAATACAAAAATGAACATATAATCTCAACTCAATCATGCACAAGTAATTATATTTTTTACTTTATACAATATCATATTTGTAACATATATATATTATAGTATTGCTACTATAAACTATATTCTCCAAATTTACTAAAATTTGCTTTACAATCAGGGGAAATCCTATAAAAACAGGTAATATGGAGTTCAAGACTAGCCTGGCCAACATGATGAAACCCTGTCTCCACTAAAAATACAAAAATTTGCCAGGTGTGGTGGTGGCGTGCCTGTGTGCCTATAATCCCAGATACTCAGAGGCTGAGGCAGGAGAATCACTTGAAACTGGGAGATGGAGGTTGCAGTGAGCCAAGATCACTACACTCCAGCCTGGGAGGCAGAGCAAGACTCCATCTCAAAAACAAAACAAAACAAGCAAACAAACAAAAAAAAAGGATGTTACAGAAGGATCTCCCCAAGATACAATGTGTAATAAAAATGGCAATGAAGAACACAGCTGGCCAGAGCATCAGTACATGCTTATCCACAAGTGCCTGAATAACGCACCGGGAGCTCAGAGAGGAAACACAAGAACCTCTGAGAAGGGCACTGGGTACCTGGAAGACGGAAATCTTTGCTCCTAAATGAGGAATATGAACGTGACAAGACACAGACACGTAACAGGACACACAGTCCTTATATAAAAAAGCACATGGGCCAAGTGTCAGAGGAGGTGGGCAAGTCACTTTAGGTCAGGAGTTGGAGACCAGCTTGGTCAGCATGGCAAAACCCCATCTCTACTAAAAATACAAAAATTAGCCAGGTGGGGTGGTGCACGCCTGGAGTCCCAGCTGCTTGGGAGGCTGAGGCAGAATTGCTTGAACCTGGGAGGAGGTGGAGGTTGCAGTGAGCCAAGATTGCACCACTGCACTCCAGCCTGGCCTGGGTGAAAACATGAGACTCAAAAACAAAACAAAACAAAACAAACTACTCAGCAATAATGATACATGAAATGACCGCCTTGGGAAAATGTCAAGGATGCTGAATGAAAAAAACTCAATCTTGCTTGAGGCCAGGAGTTCAAGACAACCCTGGGAAACATAGTAAGATCCCAGTCTCTACAAATACAAAATTAGCTGGGTGTGGTGTCGTGCGTCTGTGGTCCCAGCTACTCAGGAAGCTGAAATGAGAGGACGGCTTGAGCCCAGGAGTTTGAGGCTGCAGTGAGCTATGATTGTATCACTGCACTCCAGCTTGGGCATCAGGGTGAGACCCTGTCTCCAAAAATTACAATAACAACAATATTACAAAATTAAAAAGCCAATGTCAAAAAAATCACATAATAGACACAGAGAACAGATGAGTGGTTGCGAGCAGTTAAGGTGGAGAGAATCCGTGAACGTGGGTATAAACGGCCCTCGTCCATGTGCCCTGATTATAGTGGTGGTCTCAGAAAATCCGCACCTGAAAAAACTGCAAAGAAATACACAATTGAGAGCATGTAAAACTGGGAAAACCTGAAGAAGACAGGCAGACTGTCAGAGTTAACACCCTAGTTGTGATGGCTGTGTCATAGTTTGCAACTAGCTACCATCGAGGGCAAAGGCGCGAACAATAAAAGGAATCTCTATGCTGTTTCTTACAACTGTATGTGAATCCACAATTATCTCAAAAAAAAAGGCTTTTTAAAAATTTTAGGCCGGGCGCGGTGGCTCAAGCCTGTAATCCCAGCACTTTGGGAGGCCGAGACGGGCGGATCACGAGGTCAGGAGATCGAGACCATCCTGGCTAACACGGTGAAACCCCGTCTCTACTAAAAATACAAAAAACTAGCCGGGCGAGGTGGCGGGCGCCTGTAGTCCCAGATACTCGGGAGGCTGAGGCAGGAGAATGGCGAAAAACCCGGGAGGTGGAGCTTGCAGTGAGCTGAGATCCGGCCACTGCACTCCAGTCCGGGCTACAGTGCAAGACTCCGTCTCAAAAAAAAAAAAAAAAAAAAAAAAAAAATTTTAGTAGTTCTTCCACTTAATGAAAGATACATTCCAATTAATCCACCAACCCTATGTCATCACAAAGGAAATAGCAGAGAAAAATCAGCTGGGCTCTCAGCCATTTCTGCAGCTGAGGGAACTCAGTTTGATTCGACACACAACAGTGTTTGGACAATCTGAGCACCTACCGCCCACCCAGACATGACACTCTGATTCACGACCATCACAGCCGGTCAGGAAGGAAGGAAAGAACCACGGCAATCCTATTGCCAAATGGGTAGGAATCTCATCTGTCACTTGGTTTAATTTACTCTAAAACTATTTTCAAAAATACAACATGTACAGTCGTCGCTTGGTATCTGCAGGGGATTGGGACCAGGCCTGCCCCACCCTGGCTCCACACCAGAACCCTAGGATGCTCAAGACCCCGATATAAAATGGTGTGGTATTTGCATATAACCTGTGCACATCCTCCCGTGTCATTTAAATCATCTCAGCCAGGCACAGTGGCTCACACCTATACTCCCAACACTGGGAGGTCAAGGCGGGGAGGGTCGCCTGAGCCCAGGGGTTCAAGACCAGCCCGGGCAACATGGCAAAACCCCATCTATACAAATTAAAACAAAAAAAAAATCGGCCAGGCGTGGTGACTCAGGTTTGTAATCCCAGCACTTTGGGAGGCCAAGGCAGGCAGATCCCTCGAGGTCAGGAGTTAGAGGCCAGCCTGGGCAACACAGTGAGTCCCCGGCTCTACAAAAAATACAAATTACTAAGCATTGTGACACACGCCTGTAGTCCCAGCTACTTGGGAGGCTGAGGTGTGACAATCACTTGAGCCCAGGAGATCAAGGCTGCAGGGAGCCATGATAGCCCCACTGCCCTGGGCAACAGTGAGAACCCCATGTCAAAACAAACAAACAAGAAAAACCACCCTAGATTACTGTAACACCTAATACAAGGTAAATGCTCGGTAATTTGTTGTCATACTGTATTGTTTTTTATTTTTATTTTTTATTGCTGTTTTGGTTTTTATTGCTTTTCTTCTAATATTTTTGATCCACAGTTGGTTGAATGTGTGTTTGTGAAACCCACAGACACAGAGAGCCAACTGTAGTGTGATTTCAACTACATTTAAACATAAGGAAACAAAAAAGGAAAACAAACAAAAAATTAAAACATAAGAAAACAAGGAAACAGGCTACAAGTATCACTCCTGTCTGTGGGGAGCAAGACGACCAGGGTTTTGCTCTTGTTTCTTTCTGCCTCCTGTATCCTCTATGTGCTCTCCAGGGAGTCACATATCACAGTCAAATAAAGCCAACACTCCCAACTACACAAAATATAAGTTTCATCTGGCAATCTTGTAGTTTCACATCTGAGGGCAAAAGTCTAATAGACAGCTTCATTTTGGAAAAGTACAAATTTACATAAGCCTTAAACATTCTAGTGTCTGTTAGCAAATAGAGGAAATCTGTGATATATTAACAGGCATCAACAAATTAAAACTCATATGCCCAAAAGCATCTCTTTTTTTTTTTCTTTCCCTTTTTTAGATGGGGTTTCATTCTTGTTGCCCAGGTTGGAGTCCAATGGCGCGACCTCTGCTCACCGCAACCTCCACCTCCCAGGACCAAGTGATTCTCCTGCCTCAGCCTCCCGAGTAACTGGGATTACAGGCGCCCGCGCCACCATTCCCCGGATAATTTTCCTGTTTTTAGTAGAGACGGGGTTTCTCCATGTTGGTCAGATCTCGAACTCCCAACCTCATCTCTAAAAACCCCATCTCTACTAAAAATACAAAAATTAGCTGGGCCTGATGGCAGATGCCTATAATTCCAGCTACTGAGGAGGCTGAGGCAGGAGAATCACTTGAACCCGGTGGGGTCGGAGGTTGCAGTGAGCTGACATCCTGCCACTTCACTCCTGCCTGGGCAAAAGGAGCGAAACTCCATCTCCAAAAAAAAAAAAAAGATATTACCAGGAACAGATGGCAACATTACAAAATGAAAACTTGGTCAATCCACCATTAAGACGCAGCAATTCGAAACATGCATACACCAAACAAACAAAGAAACAATCAACAGAACTGAAAGAAGAAAAAGACATTTATACTTTTATCGCTGGAAACCTCAAAATCTCTTCTACAGCTGATAAAATTAGGAAACAGAAAAACTGCCAGGATATAGAACTCAGCATCACCATCAATCAACTAGATCCAATCAAAATTTATAGAACACTCCAGCCAATAACAGCAGAATACATAATCTTTTCAAGTATCCACAAAACAAATACTGAGTTAGAACATATTCTGAGGCATAAAACAAACCTAACAAATTTTTTGAAATTAAAGTCACACGGCCTACGTTCCCTCAAACAATGGAAACAAATTA